GATGGAGCCAGTGTCCCACCGCGCGCAGCCCTCACCTATCAGCTCCTTGTTGCGCAGGTCCACAGCCAGGTTGCGCAGGGCTCCGGCCGCGGCTTTCACCACGCGCTCGCTGTCATGGCTCAGGAGGTCGGCGATGGCCGAGAGCCCCTTCTCCTGGCGCAGCGCGGCGCGGATGCAGCGCCCGTACTGCGGAGCAGAGGCACAGCACATGGGGTCACCCGGGCAGGCACAGCCCCCCACTCCTCGGGACACCACCGGAGCCTTCCCACCACCCTCTGCTTGGGCACCAAGGGTCCTGGCTTCACCCACAGCAAGGCTGCAAAGGTCCTGCTCCTGTCCCAAAGCCTCCCCGCAACAGGCCAGGCAAGCAGCTTCCCAGGTGGTCTTTCCATACACACCAAGAGAATGCAGGTCAAGGATCTGTGGAGCAGTCCCAGACCGTCATTCCCTGTCCCCAGCACACAGAAGGGAAGGAATGGCAGCGAGCCTGCTGCTGGTAGGGACACAGACAGGCAGCCCTTGGGAAGACACAACTGGCAGGGTGCACAAAGCCCTCAACAGCACAGGAGAGACCAAGTCCACACATGAACTGTGCTGTTGAACAGTCTTCCTGAGCAGGGAGCCCTGTACAAAGTGAACAGCCTGAAACGGCAGGGCTCAGGCCACCCACAGCTCTGCTGGTACCCCCCCCATGGGTAATGCTCTTGCTCCCCAAGGCTCCTTCCCTGCAGCACAGATGAACATGGACAGGGCCAGCTTCAAAGGCACTCACCGTCCAGCTGCCAGCACACAGGTTCTGAATGGCTCCTGCCGAAGCCTCCAGGATGGCTGGGGTCTTGCTTTCCTTCAGCAGGGAGATGTATATCCGAACCACTTCTGGCTGGAAGAGGAGCTCGTAGCCTGCCAGAGAACGGGAAGGACTTACCAAGGGCTCTGCTCAAATCTGGTTAATTCCAAAGGGGCACTGCTGGGCAGGCGAGGCGGGAGCGTTGACCCAAGCTCCCTGCTCCCTGGATCCTGGGTATGGCAGGAACCAGGCTGCCCCACAGTCCCTGCCCGGGTCAGGGATGCCATGCTGCTGCCCGCAGTCCCCAGTGCACTGCTGCAGTTCAGGAAGGCTTTCAGCTGAGCTGCAGCACTGCTGCCTTCAGCAAGGAGACGTCGGGCTCAGTAAAGGCCTGGCTGAAGTCCCCAGGGGAGGCAAGGGCACGGGCTGGGCAAAACTGGCAGTCAGGTGCTGTGCAGCGAGAGGCACTCGCGGCAGGAGGAAGGGGGGACACTCCGAGCAGGCGGCCACCAACCCCTCGCTGAAGCAGCTTGGGTTGAGCTCCCAGGGCTGTGTCACCATGTTGTTCCTTCACCTTCAGGGCAACAGTTCCCTTCCCAGGAAGCCTGTCCCGAGGCAGCACTGACCTCCTCCAAGCACAGGCATCCTCTCAATGTCTGCGCCAGAGTTGGTGTTTTAAGAGGCACTGGGGCAACCAGAAGCACAACTCCTCCAAACCAAACCCTTGCCTGGTTTAGAGGCTCACTTTAATGGGAAACTCTACTCGCTCCTCTCCTGGACTGCTTGTGCAAGAGCAGCCCTGCAGAGCCCAGCCTTCCACAAACACCCCAGGAACATACCTTTGGCTGGAGTTGTTCTTTTGGGAAAATCCACTGTATCGGCACCGGGGTCTTCTGGGAGCTTTTTACCTTCAAAGGGCAAGCAGAGGAGTCAGACCCTCCTCTCCCCACCCGCCTCAGCCCAACAGCTCTTTGCCACTTGCTCCAAGGACAAGCCCAGAGGTAAGCCGAAGCCAAGCTACCAGCGTGTCCCTGGAGGGAACGTCAAGAGCCACACTGCGACAGCACGTGCCCAGCTGGGGCAGAACCAAAGCAGGCCAGAGCGAGCACCCAATCAATCCAACCATGGGAGAAGTAGAACCAGGAGCACACTCACCTCTGGAGAACCACTCGTCTATTGGCGAAGCGGAGAGGACAGGAGAGAGGGAAGGCAGGAGGAGAGAAGTGCCGACAGCATCATGGGGCAGATCGTTTGGCAAGAAAGCAAAGGCATGGGGAAGGGACAAACAGGAGAGAAGGGAAGGTGTGGAGTTAGTGGCTATCTCTGCGTCACCATCCCGCCACCACAGAGACCCACCAGTAGCTTGTGTCAAATGCTTTGGGTAAGCCAAGCAGTAGGTCCCAAAGCCAGGGGAGGCATGGGCCACTGCACCTCCAGAGAACTGCAGTTTAACCCTCACACAAGAGGTGCCAGAGCAGGAGCAGAGGGACCCCAGACCACTCTCAAGCTCCACTGTAGATTTGTCTGTATCCCACCTCCCTTCACGCTGCTGCCACCAAACAAACCTTTGCCCTTCTTGGCACCAAAGCAGCTCGCAGCGTGGGGCCCAGTGTTGTTGGCAGGGGCCAGGGGTGTCTCCTGGTAGCGCTCAGCGTGGGGGATCTCACGGTGGACTTGGTAGGACAAGTTTCTCAGCAGGCACACACAGTTCTCCACCAGCTACAGACAAAACCAGATTTGCCTTGGAGCACCCGTGCCCACCCCATGCCCGAGTGAGGGCCCCATCACAGCGTGCAACCCAGAGCCAGGCCAAGGGGGCCTGAACTCGCCCCAGGGGGAGACGCAGCTCCACCCCAGCTGGAGCACGTTCCCATCCCACACCAGGCATGACCAGTTCTGTGTGCATGAGTTCGTACTCTGCTGGGACAGCATCTTTCTGCCATGAGCACAGGAGCTCCAGGGAAAGGCTGAAGGGAAATTCAAGCCAAGGCCTGGTCAAGACAGATCAGGGAGCCCTGATCCACAGGATACCAACGTGGCGCAAGTGACACCAGCTGAGCCCTGCTGGAGGGACAACTGTGAGCTGAGTGCCAGCCACCTCCTGGTCAAACAGTGCCCAGGTCACACCCTACACAGGCTCTCTCTTCTCAAGTGGAGATGGGGGAAAGGCATGAGCCTGGACTGGGCTTTCCCAAGCTGGTCCTGTCAGGCCAAGTCCCTCCCTGGTCAAGATTCCACCCTTCCGCTCTACATCCATCCTGGCATGAACCCAGCTTCAGCCACCATGAACAGCAGAGCACTGCTGGGGCTGACTGCCAAGGGCAGAGCTCTACACGTGCCCCATGCTGGTACCTTGCTGTCCGAGTCCTTCTGGCCGATCTCAGACTGGACAATGTAGATGAGGGCATCCACCAGCCCGTCACACTCCCGCAGCTTCCGACGGGCCTCGCTCCGCTCCGAGCTCACGTTTCTGGCAGGCAGGAGGGAACCAGCATGGGAGAGACAGCTGAGGGCAGGCACGGAGCTGCCAGCATCCAGCAGAGCTCACACCAGAGGAAAGCTCCTGTAGCTCCCCTCCACTGAGAGAAACTCCTCCAAAACCAAGGACTGCATCACCAGGAGCTGTCCTGGGAGAGCAGCTCTCCCTTGGCAGCCCCCGAAAGCCACCAGGACCAGCCAGGAAGGAGCATTACCACAGCCCCAGCCCACACCAGCACTCTGGCAGCAGTTGGTGGCCCCCTCCCATA